TACAATAGCTGTCCAGAGACTGCTTGCGTTAGAGTCTCTCTAGGCACTTCCCTCACAGGTATGGTAGAAGAGTTGAAAGAGAGGATGCTTGCCTGGGCCAAGATGAAGAAAGATGGAAAGGGACAACTAGTGTTAGTAGATGTAGAGGTTTTTAGAGGTAGGGTAGGGGCCCTTATAGACAGTGGGGCCACCCGAAGCTACATTAGCCACAAAGCGCTGCAGAAGCTGAAGTTGAATTTGAAAGTCCAAAAGTTAGAAGAACCCATAGTTAGTATCTTCGTAGACAATCGCACCATGTGAATCGAGGATTACGTCGAGGGAGTCCAAGTATATTTTCATTCAGAGAAAGATGGGAAGGTAGAGAGAGTTCTCCATTCCCTGATTCTCCTTGTAGAGGACAATCTCCCATTCGATATGGTCCTAGGAATGGACTGGGGAGAGGCAGTTAGAGCCACACTCCATTTGAGAGAGCACGAGTGTAGGCAGCTGGAGCCTACACTCAGCCCATCAGGTGAAGTCAAGATTGCTCGCCTGTTTCATGTGTCAGGGGTAAACAACCCCTTAGCACATTGCTGCCTCAACGCTACTGCCTTTGCAAGGTTAGTGAAGAAGGAGCAGCTAGAAGAACAAGTCTTTGTAGTCTATGTTAGGCCAGTTATTGAGCCTAAACAGGAAGAGTCGATCGACCCTCACATTTCCAAGCTGCTGGAAGAGTGCAAATTTGTTTAAGCCGCCTACCGGAGTAGAGCAACGGCCAATCCAGCATTGCATTGACATAGAGCCTGGTAGTGGGCCTCCTAAGGGAGTTGTGTATAGAATGTCCCCAAAGGAGTTGGAGGAACTGCGCAAGCAGTAGACGAGCTCCTCGAAAAGGGTTGGATTAGGCCCAGTTCATCTCCGTTTGGAGCACCTTTCCTGTTCGTCCCCAAGAAAGAGGGAGAGTTGAGAATGTGCATTGACTATAGGGGTCTTAACGCCGTCACATTGAAGAATGCAGAACCACTGCCCCAGATAGATGATCTGTTGGATCGGGTGCAGGGTTGCAAATGTTTCTCCAAGATAGACTTGAAGTCAGGCTATCGTCAAATAGAGGTGCATCCTGATGATCAATATAAGACGGCGTTCAGGACTAGATACGGGCACTACGAGTTTATAGTGATGCCCTTTGGACTAACAAACGCACCGGCCACATTTCAGCGCTGCATGAACGATTTGTTTAGGCCGTGGTTTGATAGATTTGTGATTGTGTATCTAGATGATATTCTAGTGTTTAGCAAGAGAGCTGCAAGACCCTCTAGGAGCGCGAGGCTCATCTAAGACAGATCCTGCAGAAGCTAAGAGAAGCTAACTTCAAGATCAACGCGAAGAAGTGCGAGTGGGCCAAGACGCAAGTTTTGTACTTGGGCCACGTTTTAGATGGAGACGGCATAAAGCCTGAGGACAGTAAGATAGCAACGATTAGAGATTGGCCAACTCCCCACACATTGACAGAGTTGCGGTCATTCCTAGGGTTGGCGAACTATTACAGGAAGTTCATGATAAACTTCTCTGCCATCGCTGCTCCCCTTCACAGATTGCTAAAGAAGGAGGTGATCCGGAAGTGGGACCAAGATTGTACATGGGCCCTGAAGAAGTTGAAGCGGGCTTTGATAGAATACCCAGTCCTCAAGGTAGCTGATCCATCCTTAACTTTTGTTGTCACCACTGATGCTAGTCAGTATGGTATAGGTGTTGTTCTACAACAAGATGATGGCAATGGGTATAGACCGGTAGAGTTCATGTCCACTAGGATGTCTTCAGAGAAGGTAGCAACATCAACCTATGAGAGGGAACTCTACGCTCTCAAGCAAGCCTTAGATCACTGGAAGCATTACTTGCTTGGGAGGCACTTTAAAGTATATTCCGTCCACTGAACATTGAGGTGGTTGAAGACGCAGGCCAAGATGACACCTAAGCTTACAAGGTGGGCCGCAGAGATAGATCAGTTTGACTTTGAGCTCAAGCCAGTCAAAGGGAAATACAATGTAGTTGCGGACGCTCTAAGTAGGAGAGCTGATTACTTTGGAGCGATAGTACACTATCTGGACATAGGGAGAGACCTGCAACAGAAAGTCAAGGAGGCATATGCGTAGAACCCTATTTATAGCGACCTCGTCAAGAGAGTTAAGGAGTCCCCAGAGTCTGAACCGAATTACTGCACTACAAATGGGTTGTTATTTGAGAAGACTAACGTAGCTGATCGACTATACGTTCCCAATAGTGAGGAGATCCGTAGTTTGATCCTAGGGGAATGCCACGACACAGAGGGACACTTCGGTTGGCAAAAGACATTAGCCAACCTCGTTCACACATATACATGGCCTGGCATGAAGGCTGACTGCATAGAGTACGTACACAGTTGTAAGGTGTGCCAGCGGAACATGACCACTACGTGAGCCGCTCTTGGTCTTCTCAAACCCCTGCCTATTCCCACCGGACCCGGGGATTCTGTGTCCATTGATTTCATGGACGCTGGGGTCAAGAGCATGACAAGAGCCAAGTCATGGTTATAGTTGATAGGTTTAGCAAATATGCAGTTTTTGTTCCTTTGCCTTCAGAGGCACGTACAAATTTAGTAATAGAGAAGTTTTTTGATCATTGGGTCAGTGAGCATGGTTTACCGCTGTCCATAGTTAGTGACAGAGATACCAGGTTCACTAGTCAGAACTGGCAGGAGATGATGAGAGTCTACGGCTCTAAGTTGTTAATGTCGTCTGGCCGCCATCCAGAGACTAACGGCCAGACCAAACAAATGAACAAGATCCTGCAACAAGTTCTCAGAATGTACATTAGACCTGATCAAGTCAACTGGGATGAGATGCTCCCAAAGGTAGCCAGTGCATATAACAACAACGTGCATTTAGCGACCTGTCGCACTCCCAACGAACTGCACAAGTCCATTAAACCACGCAGACCGTTCGAAGGGCTAAACCGGGATCAGATCCAAAGGCTACCGCCCGGTACGAGGGAGTTTGCGCTACAGCACAAGAAAGAGATTGCTACCGTTATAGAGAACCTCGGGAAGGCCCAGTATAAGATGATAGAACAAGCCAACAAACACCATCACCCGTCACAGTTCCGGGTAGGCAACCTAGTCTGGGTCAAGTCTAAAGAATTCGTTCCTGAGGAGAACATCTCGCAGAAACTGTTACCTCCGTATAGAGGACCGTGGCCAGTCTGGAAGTCAAAGGCGGAGAGGATGGTCCTACACGATAGAGATTCCAGCACACCTCCACACCTACCCAGTGTTTCATGCGTCAAAGTTGTTGCCTTGTATTACGAGTCAACAGTTCCCGTCGAGAAGGTCCACGATCCCTCCCGATATGGATGGAAGGTATGACATGGATCGTATAGTAGGTGAGGACATATTCAGAACAGGAGGTAGAGGTCGTCCACAGAAACAGTACAAAGTCAGATTTTCTTATCAAGAACCGGAAGACGACCGCTGGTTTACACAGACAGAGCTTCTAGAGACTGCTCCCCATGTAATCTGTGCCTATGAAAGAGCTAAGAAAGGTAAAGATCCTGCTGTAGATTAACATATTCTCGGAGGACCTCGAATTTAGGCCGGCGGGAGTGAAACGGTTTTCACCTTCGTGGTAGCAGATGCAGATCCCAGGGCTTGATCCCTAAACCTGTCCCGAACCCGTGTACAGTACAGTGTGCCCCATCTAGGTTTGAGCCTGTGACCGGCCCCTAAAGTTGTCTGTTTAAGGTTGTTGTACATATGAGGGTTGAGTAGGTTCAAGCTGCTTACCTGTAGGGTAGGACTCGTAGCTTATGTCTGGTCGTAGCTGCTGTAGGTCTGAAGGGTCAACCTTAGTCGTAGCTGGTACACTACCGAAAGGGCAAGTAGGAAGGACTAGAGTCTTCTAGGACTGCCCCTTCGAGAGTCTTGGAAGCAGTCCGTAGACAAGTGGGCAAGTGGGCAGACTTACCAGGTCCAGTCAGCTGTACCCAGTCCCAGTCGCACCTTGTCCAGTCAGCAAGTACCATGTGGGACTGTGTGCATCCTAGGCCCGATGGAAAGGGAGCAGACCAGCGACCAACCAAAGTATAAATCAAGAGGCAGCATCCAGTTATTCATTCATTCAGACTGTGAGCCGTGTGGAAGTGCTGCCTGAGCGACTTGTGCAAGGAGGTCTGCAGGTGCCCGAGGAAGAAGTGGGCTGAAAGGGAGTCGAAGCGGCCATAGCCGCTAGTAAGTGGTAGAGGTAGAAAGCAGCAATAGCTCCTCTAGGTTAGAAATAGGCTACAGCGTGTATGTGTACGAGTGTTCAGTGAGGTGTGTGTGTGTGTGGGACATCCAGGGAGATCCAGAGTAGCGTGCGTGTGAACAGTTGCTGGGAATACAGTGTCGGATGGGTGTTGTGAGGGCGCACAGGTGCCATAGCCATTCGGAGCAAGTTGAATCTGAACTGTGTTCTTGACCACGATATCTCTGAGCTTTGTATGGGTGCATGTCGCCAGTGTGATTGCCATCTGTTTTCATGCATGCTGAGTGAGAAAGAAGACGAGTCTGATTACACCCAAACCTGGGCACGAGTTCCCCAGAGCTGCTGAAATGAATGCATTACGAGCGGCCTTGATCCATAAACAAAGGCGAAGCACCTAACCCACATGGACCGGCTCACTGCAGAATCTTGGACCTGCAATCAACAGATGTCCGAAGGGCTTGGTGCCAAATTGGTGGACACAGGTTGCAGTATTACCCGTACGGTCTAATCTCTGTACCTGGCATATTTTGGGCCGTGGTAGTTTGCCTGCGCCTTAGCCAATGGCAAGTTCCGTCTATTCCCCTGTGTTTTTTATAATTTACCCCAAATGGGCCCAAAACTGTAAAAGCTGAACAGCTCAGAGATATAAACCATGGGAACCCAAAAATGTTGTTGCAGTTGCATAACTGCGATTCAAAGAAAAATGAAAACGGAATGAAAGAGAACTGAATATGTAAGGCTCACCAGCAACCTCCGCAATGCTCGCTCGATTCGTGCCATCACAGCTTCCAAACTCTCTATTCTCCCGTAGCCCCAGCATGTGGGACAGGACTCACTAAGTGAGTGAGTCACACTCGGCCTGACCTGACAAACCACAGAAAGCCATTGAAAAAAAACGTACACATTTATTAATTTTATTACGAGTTAATCATGGAGAACACTGAACACATGGTAAAACTAGTGGTGCTAAAAGCAGAGGCAAAAAAAAAAAAGAAAAAGAAAAGCAGAGGCAAATAGAAGCCCGATGAATGAGCTTTGTGCAATCTGGCCGGAGGTGAAGTACAGGACATCACCCCGTGGTTCTTCAGTTGCAGCCGAATCTCAACACTATGAAAGAAACTAGAAGGACTAGGGTGCAGGAGGGCACCAAAAGATCCATTCGTCTCGTTAGAAGTCCCAAGCAATCGTACATTTTTGAAACTAACATCTTTCAAATTCTGAGGGTAGTGCTATGGACAGTCTGGAAAAAGAGAGGTGAAGAGAATGGACGACAGAAAAATGGCAACCCAGGAGGAGTAGGAGATGCTTCAGCAACAGGTGGAAGCGGACCTTAAGAGTACAATGGAGGAGAAGTTGGAGAACCACCCTAAATATGGACCGCTGAGATCACCGTGATCCAGACACACTTCACCGGACCATTCAATGGGTAGGAGTGACGGGCGTGTGTACAAAGGGCAGGGACGTAATCAGCCCGAGCTGATGACTCATGCTTACTAGGAATTCATTGCAACAATCCTCTTTTCGTGTGAGCTCTCATTATATTCCTTGGCATTCTTGTACTGTGACCATTGCTGCAGACATTCTTTGGGTCTCATGGCACCCCTTGCTCTGTTGTTCGGCCAGCTGAGGTGTTACAGTTTGGGGCCGCGAAGCAGATACTTCCCTTACTTCTGGCTCTTGGCATGGATCTCTATTGCTCTGGTCCCTCCCATAGTGTCAGTTTGGTTATTTTCGCATGGGATGACAGCGATACTGCAAATGTTTATTGGATGGTCCCTTGACATGGCAGGCTATAGTTTTGGTTGTCCCATTTGCTGCTTAGACCGCACCTTCGGTCATTTCTGGATCTCATCTGTCTGAACTTAAAATCGGGCAGATTAAGCCTCAGTATATCTGATCAGACCAGGACTGGCAGTGATTGTGTATTATGGTTACGGTCCAGGGGATGATCTGGACCTCTGGCTTCTGTGGCTGGATACCTGGTTCACTCTCTTGCATCCATGTGATAGTAAGTTGGGGTTCACCCTCAACCAACCTCTCAGAAACATGCTTTTGTGTTTGATAAAGTCCCGTGAACATGCCGGACAAGTTCCGATCCTGCCCTGAAATTACATTTGGGATTGTTTCTCTCTCCATTGTCATTACCGCATGTTGGAGACCCTTTCCGATCTTCATTATGCACAACATCACAACTAATTGTTTTGCTTTGCATTAGTTCACGGCCACAGATGTCTACCGCAAGATACGTGCTATGGAAGAATAATGGTGAGGGTCCCCAAAAATACAATCATTTTCTCTAAATAAAAAGGGGCCCTTCCTATTCATAATCTTATGACGGCTACGGACCTAGTGGATCCTGTTAGACTTCAACAGCCTGAACGGAAACAGTTCACATATTATAAAAGGAATTGTAGTCAACATATTTCAGCATCAAGGATTGACTATTTCCTCATATCACAAGACACCGTGGGAACAATACACTCGGTGGGAGCAGGGGACTTACCATATTGTACATGTCTAGATCATAAACCTATATTTCTTAACTTTATTATGGACCGACATGTTCACAGAGGTAGGAGCTTCCATAAGGTGAATAATTCATTATTAAGAACTAAGGAATTGAGGGAAGCTTTACTGAATGTCTGCCTAATACACAACCCGTGCACACAATCATTCGCGGACCTGACAGAAGCTCTGTCAACAGCGACGGCAGTAGTAGCTAGACAGCTGGCAGCAAGGTGGGTGGCAAGGGAAATGGAACTACAAAGGGCATTGCGAATAGTGGAAAGGAATCTAATTAATAACCCGCGTTCAAAGATGTATGAGAAAATCATACAGGAAGCAAGAAACGAATTAGGGGATTGGGAGAGATGGAGAGCTAGAGGTTTGCAAATGAGAGTGAGAGTGAAAGAATGGGAGGAAGGGGAAAGGATGACAAAATATTTCTTCCAAAAGATTAAAGCAAGAGGAAGAAACAAGCTAATAGAGCAGCTGGAGGGCCCGCAAGGACTAGTCTCGGATCTGGAAGGGATGCTATTGGTAGCCTACGACTTTTATAGAACTTTATACACTTCTAGGGAAGCTGACCATACTCCTCATCAGATGAAGGAGGTCAGAAATAAGTTTCTTTCATATCTGGAACCAACGGTGAAAAGGGAGCAGGCAGAAAAATTAGATGCCCCTCTTTCCCAACATGAATTGAAGGAAGCACTACAGTCGATGCCTCCTAACAAGACGCCGGGTAGGGACAGACTAACTAAAGAATTTTGGATGGAGTATTGGCCTATCCTAGGAGGAGAGTATGAATCCTTTCTCGATCAGGCCTGGCAGAAAGAAGGATTGGGGTTAGAATCGGCAACAGGCATAGTTACTCTGCAGTATAAGAAGGGAGACCCGAGAGAGATCAAAAATTACAGGCCAATTACATTGTTGACTCTCACTCACAAGATTGTGGCTAAAGCACTAGCTAACCGCCTGAGGAAGGTTACAGAAAGTTGTTTTCATCTAGATCAAAAGGGATTTATACCGGGAAGATTTATATTAGACAATGTTATGACCTTATCAGAGTCAGTAAGGTACATTACTAATAGAAGGATAAATGCAGCTATTCTCTTTTTCGACTTCGAAAAAGCATATGATCAAGTCAACTGGAATTTTCTACAACAATGTATGGAGAAGATGGGGGTGGGTCCTAATTTTCGTAAATGGATACGTGTACTTTATAATGATGCACATGGGCAGGTCCAGGTTAATGGCCACCTGTCAAATCAATATAAAATGACAAGGTCAGTGAGGCAAGGGGACCCCTTAGCTGCTCCTATTTTCTTATTCATAATGGAAGCTATCGCCTCATTCCTCAGGAAAGACCCTTCGATAGACCGGCTGGTTGCTGAGCCAGATCACCAGGGACGAGTCACATATATACCGACAACGATATTATTTGCGGATGATTTGACGGTACTAATCAGAGCAACAGACTCTTCATTTCAAGCCCTAACGAGAGCAATGGCGGCATTCCAGCTAGCATCGGAAATGAGAGTCAACTGGCAGAAGACGATGGGGTGGTGGTTATCACATGATGATCAACAACTACAGAATCAGCCACAAAATTATGAAGGGATGAATTGGTTACCACGGGATCAGACAATGAGATACTTGGGTGTCACAATGACGGGTGAGGGTCCCCATCACTCTATGGCGCCAGAGCACATGACAAAAATGCTATTAAAACTGGCGACGTGGTCGGAAATACATACCTCACTGTTCGGGAGGGTACTAGTCATAAATGCATTCATCTTCTCTATGCTATGGTATGTGGGAACGATATGGTCACCACAAGCGGATACACTACAAAAGTTGAGGAAGGTGGCGACAGCATATCTATGGACAACAAACCCTTCGAAACCTAACTTTATATCAAAAGTAGCATGGAACCAGGTCATTCAACCAAAGGATAAGGGAGGGTTGGGAGTTTTGGATCCAGGGCAGCAGATAAGGGCACTTCAGACTAAGTGGATTATAAAGTTGTTAACACAGCCTCACCTTGGGTGGGTTCCTTTGGTTCTCAATCACATATGTCAGATGGCAAGATATAAAACGCTAGACAATATGAATGGTACTTTCTGGTTATTTTGTAAGGGTTGGACGAAGGAGGATAGAATTGAGAATCAAGAAGTAAACCAAGGGGTTACTAGGGGTTCATATTGGGCTCAATTGTTCAAAATATGGGCGGAGGTCTTCCCGGCGAGAGTAAGAAAACCGAAGACGAAGGATGAGGTACTTAGGGAACCCCTTATTCTGTAATCCATGGTTAAAGGACTCTCAAGGAAAACCAAGAACACTAACAGCAAAAGATGCCAAATAGGGGAAATGGTTACAACAAGGTGTATGGCAGGTAAAACATCTCTGGTCAGACGACAAGGGGGGATGAAAAACAGGTAGGGAGATGAAAGACGAAATGAAAGGATATCACAGACTAACCGGAAATCTGAATGACATTCTCATTTCCATCCAGGATGAGTGGACAACAATACTGAAGGAACCGGACAAATGGGGCGGGGGAGATTGGGCAACAATAACCATTAACGATGAACCAGAGGCAGCCATTTGTATAAGACAAGAAGTCAGCCCTCTCAACCAGTGGGTTGAAGCAGATATGTACACAATACTATCTCCAGGACTCACTGTTAGTAAACTGGATAGGGAATCCAGGGTTCCGATAGTCATCAAGAAAAGCATCCTGAGAAAGATGAGAGTGGTTGAAAATGAAGATTTTACGATATTTGAGCCATTGACAGCCATCCGGGATCTGGAAATTGATCCAGCAGAGTGGGCATGGAATATAAGGGGAAGTTCGTCAAGAGTAAGCAGGAGAATCAATATACTTCAGTATACTACTAAAGTGGGCTACCGTTTGAGGGAGAGACCACGCCAGTTGGACTACATTTTGGCAAGAAGATGGGAGAAGACATTAGATATACCTAGAGTCCAGGTAGAAAAGTTACCTTGGTCAAATCTGCACAGCATCAGACTGCCTAAGGTTAGGAGTATGCAGTGGCTTATCTTTCATGTAGCACTCCCGGTCAATGTCTGGTTGTTCGGTAGGCGAAATAAGAACAATAGGAATGACACGGATCAGGACTGTGTTATGTGTACGGGAAAATATTGGAAACTCTGATACATTGCCTGCTCCATTGCCCGGAGGCAGAACATCTTTGGTCCATATCACGTGAATTATGGGCACAGACTACGGACATCCCCTTCCCACATAACAGAAAATTAATATTGATTGGAAGTGAAGTTCCTAGAGGATGGAAGTCAGGCCAGAAATATATCTTTCAACTTTTGAGACAGTACACCCTATGGACAATCTGGAAACGAAGATGTCAACTGGTGGTGGGTAAGACTCTGTTGACAAGAGGGGAAGCCAAGGCAATTCTCTACAACTTGTTGGAAACAGAGATTAGGGCATTATGGAGAAGAACAAAGAAGCAACTTGAGCTTAATCCAGAAAGGGCAAAGGAAATCTTATCTAAATACCACAACAGGGTATTAGCCCAAGGCAAAGTCACGATGATTGAAGGACAAAAACTGATCTTCCATTGGTTCAAGGAGAAGCATCAGGAAGACAATATAGATGATCAGCAGTCGACACAGGAGCTGGGGTTGCATTAAGGAGTAAATGAGAGGCCAGCTAAGGAGGACATGAGATAGAAATGGAAAAGGGCCAAATGGTGTCCACATTTTTCAGAATATCAAAATTTTGTTTTTACATATAGGGGTTTTGTAGTTAGCACAAAACAGGAGGTTTTGCTATCTGCTAGGTCTTTTCTCATTGCTCATGATTTATATGACAGATAGTATCATGTGACCTGAGAGGAAAGGATGAAGCAGGGGGGCAAATGGCATCCGCATTTTTCACATTAGCAAAAATTGTTTTTCCATATGGGGATTTTGTTTTTTCCATATGGGGATTTTGTTTTTTCCATATGGGGTTTTGTACTTTAGACAAAATAGGAGGTGTTGTTATCTGCTAGGACCTTTCTCGTTATTGATGATATATATGACAGGTTGTACCATGTGACCTGAGAGGAAAGGATGAAGCAGGGCGAGCTGACAGTCAATCCTCCGCGATGTTGGAGCAATCAATGCTGGTCAGGGGTCCTTCGGCCAGACGGAAGGAAGCGTGAGTGAGTATTTTGATGTATCTTTTATTATGACTGGCCGGTGGAATAGGAACCGGACTGATGCTCCCCAGAACGGATACGGAGCCAGGACCATAAGGGCCTGTTTAAAAAAAAAAAAAAAAAAAAAAAAAAAAAGGGAAAGAATTGACGTACCCTTTTACGTGTGATCTCCATTACTCCAAATGGGGATATCTGTGTGATCTGAACCTTTGATCTGTCTCTCAGGAATGCACGTTTTACCTCCTCGTACACATGCCTGTCATCACCTGCCAAGAATAAGCATTCTAACTTAGTTCCCAAAACACACACCAAATCTGATTCCAGAGACCCCAACCACAATCGCGACAAACTACAGGTCAAATGACTCTTCATGTCATAGTAGCACTTTCAAGTCACCAGCCGATACAGTGGCAGTATCCCTAAGAACCCTAACCCACAGATGAAACGATTCTTCATGAAATAGGAAACATTCTAACAAACACTAGAGCATCATGTCAAATACAGAATGGCTATGAGAAAATGCTGAAGATTTAGGGCTCGGTTAACCATCTGTCAGCTGGACAGGGTCCAGCTGGGCCACACCATGCACAAGCGTGTCGAAGGCAGCTGGGGGGGGTTGGCTTCATTTCAATTCCTTGATTCTTATTACTATTTTGGTTCATTCTGCGAGGATCTGGGTCCTCAGCAGGCCTAAGGGGCCCTGTTGCAGATGTGCCCGCCCTAAGTGAAGGCGGGCCTGACAAATCACGAGAGGCCCTTGGATGTCAATTTTGTCTTTGGGGTCCAGGCAGTTGTGACGCACCAGTTGGTTGGGAAAAACACAGGCCGAGCAGCAAAGGCATTTCCACGGCCGTCCAGCCCTTTCCTGAAAATGCAGGCCCTGGGCGAGAATCGCAGCCTCATACATAGACAGTTGGGAGGCCCAGCGGAACGATGCCCAGTAGCTGCAAAGGAGGCGCAGCCCCCTGGGGCCTACCGGAAGCTTCTGGGCCAGGGCCCAGGCCAGCCACGCTGCGAAAGCAGACCGGCTCTTTCCATATAGGAAAGAGCTCGCTGCCTGGCCAACCATTCGGGCACTTGCATGCTAGCGGCAGCGCTGCTGGAGTGGACGCTCGTGGGCTGCTGCTGGCGCTGAGAGGCAAGGTGCAAGCACGTGCAGTCGTGTGTGAGTGAGGGCGCAGCTGAGGGCAGCGCCATACCCCAGCCTCCATAGCTGGATGGGCTTGGACTACAGTGAGGCGCATGGGTGGTCTTCGGGTGTACAGAGGGAAGATGTTGCATACTGTAGCGGTGCAGACCAGAACAAGAACCGACCTCTCTCACAAAGTACAAGATAGCAAAGCGGAAGACTTAGATACCAATGATCCGAACAATCAATATTGCAATTCAGCCCCGAACATACATCATCATCATCAATCCATGGTGAGATGGTGGACTTAGAAGAGGAAGAATGCGCCAGCCCCAACCATACACAGACGAAGAAGAGGGGGGTTAGACGAAGAAGAGGGGAAGATGGGAATGTCGTCAACACCAAGTCTTCGGCACAGGCCCAAATAGTCCCTCGTCAAAATGTCTGAATCCCAATGTCAAGTCTGGATCCAATGTCGTCAAGTCTCAAGTCACAACTCTCTCTCTCTGTCGTAGTCCGCTGATACTGAGAAGTCAGGGAGTGAGAGGGTCAAGAAGAGATGGTGGACTTAGAAGAGGAAGAAGAAGAACTCTCTCTCTCTCTCTCTCTCTCTC